CTGTCTGAAACACTTTTCCCATATTTAAAGCCGTTTCCGAGATCCAGGAGTGGGGCCAGACTTTAGAGATACCCTGTATATTGTTATCTACGAAAGAACAGATAATCCACTAACCTCTGGTTAACATTTAGCCAGCAAATGAAAAGCCGGGCCTTAGAATAAACCAAAGATCGAATGTAAGGCTACACGGAGTATTACAGTAATTTGCGCGTACGTGATACTGAATTCTTTTTTTTTCTTTTATCGAACGCGTGGGCAGGCGATAAACTGTTTCGCACAGTCTGCGAGTCTTGTTGATAGTACAACCGTCGTAACAAGGGTCTAAGTGCATGCAGAAAGCGCAAAAAGAGAACGGACGAGCGATTTTTCTACTTCGCAGAATCCAATTATCGCGCGTTCTCGCGCGTCCGCTAAAATTATTGTTGTTACGTGCCGAGATAATGGCGCGGTGTGCGACGAAGGCCGTACACGCGTGTCTCTCGCACGGCGGAACGATGTCCCGCGCATTTTCCGAGTGACCCATTCTCTATTTTCCGTCGCTGAATGGGTCAGAGCTACGTCATTCACATTGTCGCGCGGAATCACGTCGGGGGGCTCCCTCGTTTTGGCAGCGCGCTTTCAGCGGCGCGAAACACGCGGACTCTCTTGTCTTAAAACGTCTCCCCTGTCTCCGGGACTGACGACCGCCGCCAGCGTTACACTCCGCGCTTTCACCGTAAATCAGAGAGCGGCGTGACGACTGCCGCGAGTATACGCGAAGCGCAATTTGCACGTGATCGAGACTAGGTTTCTCGGTGCAACTTTAAGGCCCAGTTCAACAGTGGCCAGTTAGCTTAACTAGTTGTCAAGTAGTGATGCCGACCACTGAAACAAAATTCGGTAAGCTATTTACAAGGTTTTCTTGCGTATTGTAACACATAAAATTTACATGCGCAAAAATTTTCAATAATCGAAACACTATTGCAACAGCATATTCCTGCACTGAAAAAAAAATCTGTTAGATTCAACCAGACGTCTGTTAGAAAATGGACGAATCAGAATTCCCTTTAGGATTTACCAGAATTCCTTTAGGATTTACCATGAAAGATATTTCATAACCATGGAAGTTTGGTAGACTTTACTATACAAATCTGGTAAATCCTAAAGGGAATTCTGATTCGTCCATTTTCTAACAGACGACTGGTTGAATCTACCAGATTTTTTTTTCAGTGTGAGACTAAATCAAGTAAAAAAAGTCCTCTACTACTACACGATTGATGAAAATAGCGCGTCGTTGCATTGTTGCAAGCGCTCGCCACTTTCCGTATGGTTCTCCTCTTCGCGGATTAGGCAGCCGCAGGTTTATTTTCGGTTACCCTCGAGAGATTGTGCCAATGCACGCCGCGAGTCTTGGGTGCGACACTGATTAATGAGTCTCCGTTCTTTTTGACGTTGCTTGAAAGCCTTGCCAAATCTCTCATTATCATCGTCCCGTTAGACGTTAGACGCTTCTCGCCAAAATAGGCCGTGGCTCTCGATTCAGGATGTCCGGTTCAGACGGTTCAGGCGTTACGCGAGCGACTTTACCCTATTGAAATTATTTTCTATTTATTGAGACGGGGAAACTTATAGTCAACCCAACTGGCTAGTTATTTAATTAGTTTATTACATAACGTTTCGACTCTATTCTTTTGGGTCCTTATCGAGTGATACTGCAAGTCAACAACAACAACGCAGTTATGAACAATGCAGGTTAATAAGTAAAAAGGATTTAGTTAAATAGTTAAAAGCTCAGTTTTCTATTTAATCACGGACGCAACTCGTCGCAGATTGCATCTAAAAATATTCCGCTTGCGTCGCATTCCAGTGTAATTTTGGCTAATTATTATTACGATAAATGCGGCGAGACGCACGTCGCTGCGACGCGACCCTATATTAACGAATAATATTTCAATCTCCTACTTAATTTCGGCGTCTACATAGTATGGAGAGATGAATATAATGTTTTCAAAATTAATTATTCTCTGTAACTCTAAGAGGATAAAATTGTTCTTTGAAGTCGTGCAGTGTTTATTTCGAGGCACCTTTAATCTCTGTTACTGTTTTAATTACATTTTCTTTTCCTCGGAAACAAAAGACGCAGGTGTGTACATAAAACACGGAATTTACATCGATTGGTATTATTTTACAATATTCAGTCTCTCTTTCTCTCTCTCTTCTCTGTTATTTGAACTCGTGGAAACATTTATTACGCGGCTGTGCATTTCGTCAATGGAGGACGACAAAAGTAAAAGCTAATCGGTCTTAGTGCTAACCGACTCACAATATTGCACCGATTGAAAAACAGAATTCCTCGAGTATTTGTGTATTGAGTCGTGACAGTTGTTATTTATTCTCGCGTTTTCACACGCGTAAGTGCTGTCAAAGACGCACGCAGGTCGGCGACACGAGGCTACGGAGGCTGAGAAAACGACAACTATTTCGCGCGACGTTCATTGGCGGCCCGCGGCATCACGAGACTCTCGATAAGAAAGAATGCCTCACGGTTGATCGATTAGACGGTTTCGCTCGTATTCCCAGGCCAATAAATCTATCATTCGAACCGCGAGTAGCGCGCGAGATCAATTCGTGAAATTTCATTAATGGCGCCATGAATCACGGAGCACTCGCTGCATCCCGTCGCTGACACATTGCCAGGAATATCTTTCGCCACAACAGCCAATTCGTGTTCGATCGTTACAAGGTAAGCGCTATTACAAGATGCGAGTGCAATCTTTGTCTTGTCATCTTGGCAGATCGCAGTAATTCGGGGCCGTCGTCACTGTTGACAGCGCATAGAAGAATTGAACAGGTTTTCAGAGCTCTGTCTTGTTTTCTAAAGATTACTAGACGCAATTTTATCACAATGGAGCGATACTTTAGGAATTAGCGTGTTTCCTTTCCAACGATTAGAATATTATCTTTCCGTTGAAAAGTACGAGAATATTTCGGAATTATTGACGTAAGATTGTAGAAATTGTTCTTTGCTTCTAACATATTCCAGATGCGCGCTCTTTCTAGTATTGTTCCAAGATTTATAACCCTTCTAAGACCATCGATAAGCTTTGCATTTCAATTGGCCTTCTATATCGGCCACCGTCTATCTCAAGATAGGATATCTCTGGAGAAATGGCCGCGTCTTATCGCGGCTACGAGCTATTGATAATCGGTCATGCATGCGTTCGCCTTGGATCTCGTATCTTCCTCGGCAGTGGTTCATCGCTCGCGGTGTATATCACCCCTTTATTCTGCGCTGATTTACTCGAGGTCGCAAAACTCCTCCGTCAGCCGGGATACTTTTCGACCGCTATTTACTTCCTCAGTCGCTCCGGTTTGTTATGCGAGATTCACGAGCGATCTGTACGCAAGTGATAATTTTATTCGCGCGCGCGCGATGATTGATGGACCCATCGCGGACGATGATCCGTCATGTCGGGAGATCGCAGTTTTCTGCCGCGTCTGTGTGAGAGGGTGACGAGAAGGCTCTTCTACAGTTTATCCCCCGTGACCCTCGCGAGGAATACTCTCCGCGGATAGGACGCGACAGTGAGCGGGGGAGACTGACGCAAAGGCACGTAGAAACAAAACGTACTGTCTTCGTTATCTGCGAGGCGAGGCGAACGTCTCTCGAGACGTTTTTCGGAGATTCGCGAGTCTGCCGACGAGCCTCCCCGAGAACGCTACGTGGATTCCGCTGGCTGAAGTATCTCCAGTGTATCTCTCCTCGTCGAGCTGCAGAAAATCAAGTTCGCGACGCGTAACAACGAATCCGGCAGAAATGTGCGATTCTCCCAAAGCGAGGCGATCTTCTTCAGACACTTCCGTCCGTTTATTTGATCGCGTATGTTCCCCGTGTACCTGAACGGCCTCACGCTTACAGATAACGATTAATCCCGAGAAGATAATGCGACATCTCGGGAGCATTATCTCGCGCCACGTGTCGTAATTTTCCGACGTGCCTCTCGCACAAGTCGATACGGTTTTTCGTTTCGTCACGACACCGTGCACTTAATAGCACGACGATGTTGCCCTCGGCGGATCGAATTGCGGTGTGACGTGCACATCTTACAACGCTCTGGTAATTTGCCGAAACCTGCGTGGATAATCGGGAACGAGACGCGTTGGACACTTGGCGCATACCTCATTCGAGTCGCTTCTATTTGCCGAGCGAAAAGGGGATCGTATAAACAAGCCGGACAGGCCAACTCACGTGATGAGACGGTACTTGGTGGACAAAATGATCATTTTACATTCAACACGTGTGTCAGGTCGGGACCGCTCGAAACGCTCGTATTTGCACATCACGGCCGCCTGTAATCAGAAACATTAGGTCCGTTCTCTTCAGCTGTTTTTCAACACTTGCGATGGATTGGACGAGTACGTGATCGTGTATTGCAAGCGAGGGAAGCAAGACGGAGTTAGTCAAGGAAAAAAAGATTTCAATGATAACTTGACCATGTCTGGCGATTTTTATGTTCACAACTCACTACGTTTCGACCATGGTTTGTGGTCCTTTTCAAGTGATCTAACGGTAGCGTGCGGAGACACCATGTTTGAGGTCAACGGTGTATAATAAACTAACAAGGAGTAGTCTTGAATGTCGCCAGAAATAATTAAAAGACTTCAATAATAACTTGACCATGTCTGGCGATTTTTATGTTCACAACTCACTACGTTTCGAGACCATGGTTTGTGGTCCTTTTCAAGTGATCTAACGGTAGTGTGCGGAGACGCGCAGTAGTTAGTGAAGGAATAAAAGCACTGCCACGATGAGTCCTGCATAAGCAGGAATGCAGCTCGTTTAAAAAGAAAACACGAGTCAGTCGCGCCGTAACGCCCGCGAATTTTCCTCGTTATTCCTAATTATACGCGATTAATTGGAGCGGATTTGACACCAATCCCCGTTCCATGGCGGATACGGACGAGAGAACGAGGCTGTTGAATAACAACCGGCGAAATGCATCCTTTACGTCCTTGCCACCGGAGCAAGGGTCTGGCAGAACGTACGGGACTCTTTCTTCGACATGCCAGCAAGCCATTCAGTCGTTTTGGAACAGAAGCAAACAGGTAGACGATACAGCGATTTGTACGTGTTGAGCATTTCATGGGACATTTGTATCGTACCTATTTTCTCTTCTCCGAATATACAATATAAAGAAGATTTGACTTATATCATGTTCTCGAATCCTTAAAGAAATGCCCCGAGCTATTGTTCGAGACAATCAGTTTTCACGTCATTGCGTATTAAAACATTCTTCGGTAATTCAGTCAATTGAAATACTTTTCATTTTCACTACGATACTCGTAATCGGCGCGTCAAAATACGTAGGAATATCTGAGTTTCGAAAAAATCGGGGGTACGTACCTACTTTACGGAACTTTATCCCTTTTGATCTTCTCAATTCACTTTTACGAGTGTTACGATGCAAGTCAGAACACAATTTTCTCTCAAACCACTTCCCTAAACATCGGCGAACTCCGCAGCCAGTCGCGATCTTCAGAAACGCTCGAGCGGAGCTTTATGAATGAAACTCTTTCGCTCTTACTACGACGTGCGTGCCAAGATTTAGTCGGGATAGCTCTCGTGATAAATGACACGGGCAACAAGCGGTGTCGAGTGACGTCTCTTACGAGCTGACAATGATGACAGCTCGTGGCAGACTCGGTGTCTCAGATAATAGCATCGCGAACATCGGCATCCATCCGGATGGAATTTCCACAGTAAACAAATCACGCGCAAATGAATCATATGATCGGCGACACTCGCGATTCGTTTCCGAACGCGGCGAATACGATGCTATTTCCGCCAGTATTTACCGCGCCGATGTTTACACCGCGGCCCGGAATAAATAGCATTAGGATATTTTAACTCGCTCGATGTTTTCGCACTCGGCGTAAATCGCTCAAGGAGATGTCGAAATTGCGGACGTCGAGTCAAAATTACGTGTCCTATGAAGACGGGTATATCTTTCTCCGACAGCAAAAATCCTCTCTGGCGTACCTACAAAAATATTTCCTAGAAGCTTGTGATTCGAAACGTCTTACATTTATACACACATACAATTTTCCTCTATACCGACAATTCGCAGCATTTTTTACATGAAAATGATTTGTATCTATAAATTGTCTTGAAACGATCTATAGATTTATTCGCCGCAAAGAATACACGTGTTATATTTTTTAATCCGATTCATATAAATAACATCGTAAAGTGATTGCGGAGTGAAAAATAACTCTAGTTAGAAGCGGCAAAATGCAGTATATTTTATTTAAAAAATTGCATTGCGCACGAGCTATTTGCGATAATTAATTTGATCCTCTGCCAGATCGAGGGCGATTAATGGATTTACACTACTTGCATCGCGTTACGCCAGAGTCTCCTAATCTTTATTTGAATAATTCCGGAATAATTCGTATCTCTTGTTTTTTTTACTGCAGCTGAAATTTACTAAAATCCAATGGGGCGTTTATTACAAAAGAATATTGGTTGCCCAGAACTTGGTGCGGATTTGAAAGAGTGTCACACGAATTAGTTACGCAAATGGATGAATTATGTAACGTGGTGGAAACAGGGCCTTATATACATAATCTTTGTCACATAATTATAAACGCTTCATCGGTTTTCAATAACGTGTAGCTGTCAATATACTTACCTTTTACGCGTGGAGTATAACGTCTCGACGATAGGAATAGGAACGTTATTTATTATATAAATGAATACAGTATCGGTAACTTTATACCGCAGCTATTAATAATATCAATTTGTATCTGCAACAAATTGCAACGGCAATAAATATAGAAGACCATAAAGGTGACAATAAGTAACATTTTATCAGATATTTTGTACTCTACACAGCAATTAAAGCACCCTACGCAGCAGCTTCAGCAATTCTTCTTAAAATTTTTAACAGCTCGGGAAAGTTGCTGCTGTCAACGATAAAAACAATTAATCTCTCTCCTTTTTAAACAATGAGTTGCGGCAACGTTTAGCACCGAACCTTTCGATTGCGCTGAAACTTTAAACTAAACTTCACTTCTTTTGTAACTGTACCTCTCGATTGAGCTTGTTTTCCAGAGTGTCGTTCCAAAGCGAGAATCGATCGCAAGTCAGTCTGAATCAATTAATTTTTTTCTCTTCGTCGTCCCGTATAATCAAGTGACGAGATTCAATTCGGCGAGAGCTTATCGTCGAACAATCCCGCGAGATCCGATAGTACTATTAGCTCGGTACTCTTTGCTGCGCATCGGCGCGGCAATGGTGATACAGTTCTGCCGAACGATATCACGTCATTTCGTTTTATGAAGCGCAGTAAAGTTCCGCGTGCTCAATTAATTCGTTTACCGAGAGCTTTAATTGGCCGGGATTAACGCGAGAACTAACCGCGGCAAGCGTCTCTAACAACTGCGTTCAAAGCAAAGAAGTGTTCTTTGACAAACAATTTGAATCTTCTCTCGCTTTATCATTTGTTTAGATTCTAATTAATTTTACTAAATCCGCGCTTTATTTACATCATTACTGTCCTCTTAAGACGGACGCAATATCTGCTGTTGGAATAACGAAAGATTGTCAAAATTAAATGCACACAAAAATTAAACCGAATATCAGAAAATCTGAAAGATCTTTAACGTTTTTTATCTCCAGTTACGGCTTGAAGTATTGCTGTTTAAATATTTATAGCAATTAGATAAAACGCGTACAATTTTTTGTCTACACTCCGTTTTGCACTCTATTTTGTCTCGTACTTTCCTTCCTACGTATAGCCAATTCTTGATTTGCTGTTCGTTGCTGTTCGTGACAATCGTGTTAAAACATTTTCTCCGATTACGCTTTGACACTTCCGTTTAGTTGTTTGTCCAGTTCCTCACGAACGATGCGACAACGCAACTCCTAAAACTCGAGGTCCTATTTCGACCAGCACGTGTCTACAATGAATAGAGGCTCGATTAACTCGCATTAATTATTTATTCGTTGCGCGAGGCAAACCGAGAGTCCGCGATTCAATTACGGCATGTTCTCCCGACAAATCCTTCATTTTCAGTCAAGCTTTTAACTGGGGCGGATACGCTGGTGGACCTAAGTGAAAATGAAATTAACAATGTCGTCCGCTTATCACAGCTTATTGTTTAATCGAATCGCCGCCGCGCCGAATCCATAATGTGCAACCATGAGGATTAACCGTGGAAGATTACGGTGTAATTATGTCGGTGCCGCACAGCGCCGTTATCGCAAATCAGTGACGTCGTTGACACGCCGTATTTCTCTCGCTATTATCTCGGAGTACATATATACATATTTATCTCCCTCTTTCTCTCTTTGCCGAGACCGGAACTTCGTACCGAACAATTCTGCATGGATTCCGATGTAATGACGTACTTTACGCGACACTCGTTCTTCTCTATGGAATACACACGGGCGGCAAAAAAAATTTTTTCCAATTTTTTTCAGTGTTAAAAAGTTGACGACTTGCAATTTCTCTCTGCACATCTCACTGCGCATTATTTCTGAGAAAAGGCAGAACATTTGTCACGCTGTTCGAATTTCAACATAAAATTGAGCCGTTTAAATCGCAAAAATGGTTGCGAGTTTCTTTTACGCACGTGCATCTTGTGTACAAAGTTTCTTCAAAAGATTTTCTGTAGATTCTGTTAATAATGACAGTGATAAATAATTTTAATGTTGAATTTAAACAGCGATATGCCGCATGAAAGGGGAACGGTTTCCGAGCCGGAAAGCTCACGGCACACTGACGACACACAGCACGCGGCCGTTACGCGATTCAGTAGTATATGTGCGTGAACTTAAAGAGATCCCACCGCGATATATAAATGTCGCGCGACGTATCCGCTGAACGTTGTTCCCGAGCGATTTGCTGGCGTCGGTGTCCCGCTCGGTCGCAGTTCCGAGTCGACATTCCGCAATTGTCTCCCAACGACGAGGGAGAAGTCGCGCGAACGTCGTGCAGCCGTTGGCCGCCGGATCAGCTGGACCCCCGGATGACCACGCGAAATTTGGAAAAAATGCTGCGACTCACCACCCTGTCCAGGGTCCGTTTCTCACGGTATACCGATAATCTAAAGTAATCTTACGGTGGGTTTCCTCGGGCAGGAATTTTTCTATTCCGCGACAAGGATCGAAACTGACACAGCGGTGAGTTGGGTCCTTCGTTGCTGGGGAGACGCGGAAAATAATATCTACATTTGATCGCAATCGACCTCGCAGCCTCGGAAATTGAACTTGTCTCAATTGTACCGTTTTTCAATTTTTAATCAATTGCAGCTCCTCTCTGGGAAAAAAAGAGACAGCAGCCCATTTTGGGGCCCGCAATTAGTAATCGAATTATTTGGATTGTTCGTAGCTCTACTCTGGGAAAAATTTTGACCGTTCAGAATTAATTGAGAGAATTGATTAGTATTACTTTAAAATCTTGGATATAGATAGAATAGCTAATTGCGATCTTTAGTTACGCGGAGTTAAATTCGTAAAGGATTAGAGTTACGAACAATTCAAATAATTCGATTACCAATTGTGGGCCCCAAAATGGGTTGCTGTCTTTTTTTTCCGAAGTATTTGACTGTATCACAGTCAGCGAACCGATAAGAAATTAGGAAAAGTTACGATTGTAATTTCTTCTTAATTTTTAGTATTGAAAAACTTGGGAAAGATTACAGGCCTGCGGTTCGTCAAAAAACGCTCGGTCATAAATTATTGAGACACTGCACATCTATATTTTCTTTACGAATTAACACAGTGCGTTTTTTAAATCTTTTTTTTAAATCTTTATTGTTATAAATCGCCTATCCAATCTATTACGCAAATTATATTACATTGCGTTTTAAGAAATCATGTGTTTCTGTGTTTTAAAAACTTATTCTAAACTTATGTGAGACGTTAACACATTACTAGCATTAAATTAATATTGTATTATTCTAAAACAGTGGATTTCTTTTGAAGAAACGTTTTAAATTCGTGCGAGTTGTTCTCATCATTATCGATGACGGAACCACTTTCGCGGAATGAAAAATGTAAAGCGCTAAAATTTGATGATTCTACGTGTATGCGTGTTTTACTCGCAGCAAATGGTGAAGGTTTTCGATTTTCGTGCTGAATAGACGATTCGAAGAGAATGCAATGCGGAAGGCCAAAGACGAACGTCTTCGAATCGCGACGGCGTTTTTCCGCAATAGTTTCGACGAAGAGGACGATGTGGAGGAAGACAAAGCCTCCCTAACGAAAAACTCGGAGACTGCGTTCTCGCCAACCTCCGATGGCAACTCGATCAGAGCCGAGATTCCTCTCGGCGTCGCGAACGCGGTGGTTCCCTCAAAATTGGTTACACCTGATCCTGAACTTGCGGCCTCCAGCTTGTACGCGGGAGATCGCACCTTAAAACACTTGCGATCGCCCGAAGATTTCAAGTCGTCGGACAATTGCGCGAACGAGTACGCAACATCAGGTCAATGTAATGCAAGAATATATAACACGGATGTAATTTCGAAAGTCGAAACACGAAGACTGTCAATAACGGATCTCGGTAGTATTTTTCCTACACCCAAGCACGAAGATGTCGCAAAAGAGTCATCTGCGAGGTTTCAATCTTCACCAATCGAGGACCAGTCGACGCGCGCAAGACCAACCGCTGCGGACGGATCGAGGCAGTTTCAATTAACGCCCGATTTTTTAGAGATTCCTTCAGCGTCCAGCGAGCACTTCCGTTTCTCAACACTATCAGAGCGATCGACAAGTGCCAAAGAATGCTCAGACGTTGGGAAAGTACGCGATGTAGTGCCACAATCTTCGCTGGTGGCCGCTGTTCGCGATAGTTTCGACGAGAAGTCTGGCAAGAGCGGCGGCCGCAGGTCAACGTTGCCGATGACGAGCTCCGATTTGAATCAGCCCAGCATGCAAAGCCCCGCGACGGAGACCAGCCAGAAGTCGCCGACCTACAATGATATTCTGGCCGGCACCAGCGTGAACCCAATCCGGAAGTCCAGCATAGCAAACGCGGCCATCTGCTCGAGTCTGGCGCCGAGCTTGCTCGGTGCGATCCCCGGTGTGCCGAATTCCCTCTTACCGAACGGAGACTACAATCTACAGCGAAGCGCGACGTTGTCGAATCTGTCGACCACTTCCACCGCCATCAGCGACGACATTTCCATCGGTAGAACGCGTCGCGGACTGCGGTCGTTCCTTCGTCTCCACATACCCGAGCCGCATCCCACGACCTGGCACGACACCGACGAGGACTGCCATCATCACTTGCACAATCATCACCATCATCATCATGTGTTCTCGCACATTCACGTACCCACCATCACCTTCACGGCGCCGGCCACCGACGGTATCGGTCGCAAGTTTAACTTCGCCATCCGAAGGCACTCGCAGGCGGTTAGTGTAATGCCAGGATGCACGTCGTTTCGCTATTTTCGTTAACACGTCTTTTTCCATTAACATCCGTTGAGTGTGGCCACGAACCGTCTTTTCTATCGAGTAAAATATTTCCGAGATGGAAGAAACTAAGTAGCATAATATGTATACGATTTTCAACTAATAATTTTCAAAGATTAATGTAGATTTATAAAATCCACTCTAAATACGAAACCATGCCCAAAATAGATCGTAGAAATTGTGGATTGATTCCATTCTTGAGTCCTTTAAATAATTAACAGCCCTTAGCAATTAATTTTAACGTTTAGTAAAAGAATGGCGTGAAATAACCAGAGATTATGTTGATAGATCGAACAAATGAGAATTAAAACTCTTTATCGTTATTTTATCGAGCGCAGTGAAGCCAAACGCGGCGATGGTATCACGTGTCAGACTGACTAAACGTTGACGCAAGTGTCTCTATAACATTAGATTCGATTAATTCGTATACTAGCACATGCTCTGGTTAAAATAATTTGCGCTTCATTGATACGCCTGTTTAAGATCGAACCGAGTCGAAACGATGACGACGCTCTCGTCGCGAATAATAGAACGTTAATTGTTGCAATTGCAGAGCTCCGTCGTCGATGTAACTCGAGCCTTTATCTTATCGGAATTGTTGCATTTGTAACCGGCAAGAGTGAAGCTAATCCGAGCGCAGGAACCAAATGTCACGGTCGATAATCGGATAATTGTCTATCGCCTTGTGTTAGTAAGAGTTGAATAACTTCACGAAATATTATAGAAAGATTACCAAAGTTAAAAATTTGGACAATTTAATCTCAAACTAAAATGTTACGCGTACATCGTCCCTCTAAAATTTTTCGAGTGAAAATACTGTCACGAAGTGAAATACTCACTCCAGTAGGGTGAATATCTCACTCATTATTTCACTGTGGCAGTAGTTTCACTCCCAAAAACTTTAGGGAGCTCATGAAACATATTAATCCCGCCGCGGTCTAAAATTCTCAAAGTAATCTCGAGATGGACCTACAAAATTTAGTTGAAGTAAATTATATTTGAGGAAATCTTTAACCACATACCATTGACGATTCTGAAACTATTCCTGTGCCTTTTAACTTAATGACGGAGCGATCGATAGATGGTTTGATAGATCCAACACGTATCGCGGGCTAATACCTGTGGTGTGGATTCGATCAAACGCACCAGTCTCACGTGACACGGAAAATTTGGAGGCACTTACGTAACGCCCGATGCCACGTGCGTACGCACATAATGGAATCTTGCCCGACTCGGTTCTGTCATCGATGCTGACGGCTAATGCCCGCGCTATATCCGCCGACACTCGCGAATTAACACTATCTCCGATGCAAAGCGCGCATCAGTATCGTCCGCCGTGGTACGTATAATAAGCCATACCACTGCCAGATATTTCCGCCTAGTGACAAAATCGGCTGCATGAAATAGAGCTGATCTAATATACTTCCTGTGTGTGCGCGTGTATACGAGCAGGCTGTGTGCGTTTGCACGCCCGCACCATCGGATTTTTATTCAGTAGAGCTCGGGCCGCAGTAAACGACGAACGGTGCTATAATTCCTGTAAGAGACTCCAGGCAGAAAAGCTTCTCCCTCGGGATAATTCCGATTTGAGAATCATCGCGCAGGCACGTGTCGGAATTTTTACTTTGCCTCAGAATCCGGAATTGAATTTTTGGCAGGTCGCTCCTTCTGCTTCATTTTACCAGGCCATTCGTCAGAATCTATTCGTTTTTAGTCTAAAATGTGCATGAGCGTTGTTAAAAATGTTTGAAGGTAACGTTAACAGAGTTTATACGATTTGTGTAACTTATAACTCGTAGCCAGGCTTAGTGGTTGTTA